TATGTATGTATGTATGTATGTGTGTATGTATGTATGTATGTACGTATGTATGTATGTATGTATGTAGGCATGCATGTATGCTTCTGTGTTCTGATCGTTTAAGAATGTTCCATTTCAGACCATGGATGTGTTGGACAGGCAGAAAGGAAATTGCAGCTCCAGCGGGTGGTGTCGCGGTGCAGCTGCCAAATGTATTTTTGCTACTTCTCGGACACGCTCGACTTTGATGCGCATAATATCTCAGTATGTCGTATTAAAATCATATGATTCAATTCTTATTTGCCTTCTTGTTCATCTGCTGTTTCGCCGTGCCTTTTTCGCCGTTTATGCTGCTGGCATTTTCTCCATTCTTCTCTGTTTTGCGCCTCTTTCATCCACCAAATTCCATACAGGCTTTCAAGGAGCCTTCTTGCTGCCTGGGTTGCTTTCCCTTTAAGATTGCATTTGTACCATCAAATATTCCGCTTTGGTGACGCTCAGCACTTATTATTATCCGCCCAGTGCGTCTCAGAAAATTGTCAGTTTATAAGAGTGAGATCCTAAAACTCTAAGAAAAACAGATATGAAAGGACAGGATTTCTGCTCTGTGGCCATTAATGCGGTTTAATTTGCGCAGGCTGCTAACTGATGATCGATGAATAGGCCTGTTCACTAATTTCTTTTGATATTAAATTGGTTTTATTGATTACTTTGTTAATTTGATTCGTCGCTTTCGACAAAACTCTCGTATAATTCAAGAGCAAGTGCTGCTAGAAATCCTGGATCTTTATGAGAGTATTTTGGGTTTGACAGTTACGAGAGACAGATTTCAGATCGCAGGACCAAGTGAGCAAGGTGAAATATGGGGGCAACCGGAACCTGTCGACTGCTTCACTTTAAAGCACAATATGCTGGAGGTTAGTTCCGCTTCTCTGTTCATTTCTGCTTTTTTAATGTATTACTGTATTCTGGTTCTAGTGCTGAACTGTTTCTGCGTGAAATTTTCCAACAGTGGATCTGTGGGCTCGCTGCTTTTGAAAATTATATCATGCGTTGAACTCAAAATGTGTAAACTTTTCGAGAATTTCAGGTATTCTGGCCTGTTCATTGGGCAGGTTAAGTTGTCATTTTTCACAGGTTAGTACGAATCCTGGGCAGTACCAGATGGTGATGAATATTATAAATCAGTTGGTTTTGTTTGTTGATCCACGGAAGAAAGAATGCGAAGGTAGACGGCAGAGGCTGCGTTTCCAGTGGCAGCTGAAAAATACAGACGAAGTGAAATCAGCCATTTTTAGCATGCAAGTTAGTTACTGCTCTGCTTTTATACTTCAGTCAGGTGTTTGTTTCATCACCGCGCGCGTTTCTCGCTGCTAATGCAGGTGGCAACTTTTCCATTTTTTATGCGTTTTTTTGCAGCAATGCAATGCGAAAAATTGGCCAACGCACGGGCTGCCTGTGCGAAGATGCGTTTTTTGCATGGTTCCCCGCAGTTTCTGTTGCTACCGGCACCGGTTTTTTCGACAAATGCTTCTAGCTAAATAAATTAAGACTGGCCACCAGAACTGTCAGAAAACATTCCCTTTAAAATTTCAACATTCTAGCTTCCCTGGCACCTGAGTTAGCAAATTACTGGAAGAAAATTTTTGCGGGCCCGTGCATGTTTACCAAGCATAACTGAGAGCTGGGTTCGGGCTGAATGAAACTTAGGTGGACGGTGATATACCCCTTTAGTTTCTCAGGTACTTGAGTTATCAATTTACGCGAAAAAAACTTTGGCGGATCCGCATGTGGGTACCACGCTTACCCGGGGGCTGGGTTTGAGCTCACTAATACCCACTTGGGCGGGGGACATTCCCCCAAGATTC